CCTTCCCCAGCACCGCCGGCAGCTGCTTCATGTAGAAACACCGTGTGCTCTGCGGTTTTGGAAAGTCACTTTTCTCGCCCGGAGGGCGAGCTGGGGTATCGGTTCTCAAAACCCGCACAAAGAAATCCACTGGCCCGTGCTTCCTCCCCGCGCTGCCGGGGGCTGCCCCGGCCCCCCCCGCTGCCCCAGAGCCGCCAGCCTGCTTCGGATGCCAAACCTGCAGGATTTTTCAGGCCTGGCTGAAATATTTTAGCGTCATTTGGTGCAGGGGGAGGAGCCGTCTTAAATTGAGTCAGATCTACAGCTCCCTGCCCGGTTGACGCTTTCTCTCCCGATTACAGCCCGGGCTGCCGCCGCACATTTTTCCTCCAATTTCTTCAACGTGAGAGCTCCCTGCCCTACTTTTCTCAGCAAACAAAGCTCCGCATCCATTTGCTTTTTGCTGCTACAAAACCCTGGCAGCTCCGGGGCCGACGTCTAACTGAAATGCTCATTTCAGGTGCTTTGCAGAGGTCCAACGCTCAGCTCCAGCAGCCTGGGAGCAATGAATCACTTGGGCGGCGTGGGCTGGGAGATGCGGTGCCCGTGTGGGTGAGCGAGCTCGCTCGCAGGGAAGAGGCTCACCGAGCCAGCCCGGTCAGAGGCACCAGGCGCTTGGAAGCGCTGCGAGCTGCTGCACCAGAGGAGGTGCAGCTGGCTCTGAAAGACCACCAGCGTTCAGCCCGTTTGCCTCGCTGTTCCGGCTCTATCGCACTTGCACTGCAGCCCCCGCCGGCCTTAACTCGATATAACCTGGAGCGGTTGCGCTTCCTAGCAAGGGGCGAGGCCCCTGTGGGGTTTACAAGCCCCCTCACCTTCCCCGAGAGGCACAGTGACAACGCATGCTGCTCCCTGGGGACAATTTCCTAAGCAAAGCTCCCAGCCCTGGGCAGTGACTGTGTTATTGCAAGACTGCAGCTTCCCAGGAGGGGAGACGTGCAGCACCGAGCCTGCAGACCCCCACCAAAGCAGCCCACCCTGCCCGGGGTCCTCTGCAGAGCCCTCTTGTCACCTCCTCTGCACCGTGGGGCCAGGGAACAAGGTGGCCTGGGACTGGGGAAGGGGTCCTGATGTCCCTCCAGCATTGGAGGAGCTCCAGCATGGCCATCCCCATCCCTGGAGCCAGGGAAGGGGGATGCAACCTGGGAAGCTAGCAGGGAGCGAAAGGCGCTGGGAAATACAGCAGAAAATGGAGCTGTGCCTCAGGTCTCTCCTGCCCAGGTCCATCTCCAGCAGCTTCACCCCAGCCCATCACCAGGCTCCAGCCCCGCTCCACAAAGCCGTGCTGCCACCCCGTGGCACTGGAAGGGTTGAGGCTCCGAGGGCCGGGCATGGCAGGGGCAGTTTATCCTCCCCACCATCCTTCCCACCTGGCCGGAGCCAACACCTCACTCCCCAGAGCCATCTCCCTCCAGCTGGAGAAAGAGCTGCCCATCTCATCCTCCTTGACCCCTTTCGTTCTGAACCTTGTCAGCTCTCCTGGCCTCACCCAGCTGCCCAGACAGCACTGGCTGCCGCTTTCCTGGACCATTCCGCAGGGGATGAACGCTCCCAGCTCACCCCGTGCCTCTCACGGCACAGCCGGGTCAAAATTGCCCTCCAGGGCCCAGAGGTCCGTGGCCAAAATGCCTAAACGTGAGCATCCTGCGGAGCCATGCCCTGGGCTGCCGGGACAGTCACGCCTCTCCCACAGACCTGACCCGCCGGGCATTTCCAAGCTACGTCTCCTGCCCAGTCTCTGCAGCCAGGCAAGCCTGGAGGATACTGGTAACTCAAGTGCTTTGGACGTTCACCGGGGATGTGTGAAAATCACGGTCAACTCCCTCCTCTGCCTGAGGACATCTGCTGCTCCATCTTCCCAAGGGGAGGCTCCAACCCCCAGGCCAGGGGCTGAAGCACTCTCAACTCTTCCCACAAAAGGCGATCTGCACCCGGAGGCGTCTGCCGACGCCTAGAGCGCACCCCCAGCCTGCCTTGGTCCTGGTCTGCACCGAGCAAGTACTCTTGACTTCAGCATCATGTCTGCAAGTCCCCACGAGAGCCGTGGTTTAAGACGTCTTTCTCTGCAGCGTTTCATCTCAACGAATGCTGCAGCTCCCCCCCAGCCCCCCTGGGCTCAGCGCAGACTTCTCCAGCCACGCAGCCGCTCCGAAACCCCGCGGGAAGCCATGCTCCGGCTGACCTGGAGCGCTTGGGACTCTCTTTTGGGGCCGGCTCTACAAAGCAGCGCAGGACAGAGAGCACGTCGCCTGCGCGCTCCTGACAGCGTCAGTCCCCAACAGCGACACGTTCCCTTCGCTGCAGCCGCTTTCATCCCAGAGCAAATGCAGTTTTCAGGCTGTATTTATTGGTTTTCCACTATTTGTCTACTGAAAACAAAAACTGAGCTTTCCAGCTACACATTATCTCAGGGAAAAAAAAAAAAAAGCTTATTTCACAGTGCTACTGATCTAGGACTCTGCCCTTGGACAAGCCACCTTTGTGATCGGTGGCTGCTGCTGAACTGCAACAGAACAAATTAAGCAAGAGCCATCAGCTAAGGAGGCCCAATCTCGCAGGAGCCCGTGCAACGCAGCCACTACCCAAGCTGACACTCAAAACAGCCAGACCTCTACAAATGGGAGGCTGGATGGGTGTTTCCACCCCTGCTTGTCCATCCCTCTGCTCTGCAAGGCCCGGTGCTGCCTCCCAGCCACACCAGCAACAGGCTCAGCTCGCTCTGCTGGAGGCCAGCAACGGCCAGCGGAAGGTCCTTCAAGCCTGCTTCCACGTCCCTCGTACAGCACCCTGCAGGCCCGGGGCACCGTGACCCCCAAATAACAACCTCCACACGAAATACTTAACGTCATCTTACCTCTTCCATCCAGCTGTGAGCCGTAAGGCACAAATCGCTAGTCTGCTTGTTCCTACAGCGAAGGACACCCCGATTCAGTCAGGGCAGGATCTCCCTCTCGAGGCAGGAATGTGGTCCATGGCCTAAGAAGTGACGGCAGTCATCGGCTCCAGTCTGGCAGGCGGGGGGCTGAGCGCGAAACCCCTCACCACACCATCCGCTCCCTGCCGCAGGTGAAACTAGGGACCGAGTATAGAGATGGTCTCAACTCTGCCCAGGCAGTGTGTTTTATTGCAATATTTACACAGCTATATCCCAGCTCTCCTCTTTTCCACACCAATTGTAAAAAAGCTTGTGCACCACCATGAAACACCGCGTTCCCAGATCTACTCGCACCCTCCCCCTTGTCAAGGCTCAAAAAAAGGTCTATGGTCTGTGTGGGCCGAGTCCAGAGGTATTGAGTGAGAGGAGCCGAGTCAGCAAGTTCCCTCCAAGTCCAGGCTCGCTTTCCCACACGCTAAAGCTAAAAGGTTTCGGAGCAGCATCCCGCGTGCCCGCTGCCTCTCCGAACGCAGCACCGGGGAATCCTCCAGGCAGCACAAGAGCCCCTTAGGTTTTTATAGCTGTGTCTCGGGACTTGTAAGCCACGCCACGGCTCTTCAGCTCTCGGACGATCCCTGCAGCAAGGAGACAAACACATTTCAGTATTCTCTAGGGATGAGGAGTCCTGAAAAAACCTGGTTCCTCTGTCATGTAGCCTCCACCGCAGAGATCAAGAAGTGGACAACCTTCATTTCTTCTAATGGAACTGTTAAGAGTGTTCCCTCTGCTAGTTTAAATGCCTAGGTAGAGCTCCCAAACATCAACTCTTGTTTTGCCTCAGGAAAGAACCAGGTGGAGATTTTATTTACATTATTTCCTACCTGAAAATGTTTGATTATGACTGTACTGAACAGGTCAAGCTCTTAAGGGTACTACCTAAATCTTCCAGTCACTTCTGTGACCTGCCTGCGTGTCCCACCTTCTCAGTAAGCCCTTGAGAACAGGGAGAGCAGAAGAGCACCACGGCGTTCAGCACGGCTCTCGCCAGCGCCACGCACCAAGGGACAGCCGAACGACAGCCCACGAGTGCAGCCTGCTGGTTACCGCGCTCCCCAGTCCTCCCGCTCCTCCCCGCCATGCGAGGATGGGCAGAGCGAGGCCAAAGACAGCGTCTCCCACCGGTACTCCCTCCGCCTGCTGCCCTGTGCTCCCTGCCTGCAGCTGCATCGAGCGCACGCCATCATCTGCTGCACTCCAGTTGTTTCGGCTGTGCCCAAAGCTGCGCCAGCGGGCCTTGGCTTCAAGCCTTGTGATGTTCCAGCTCCTTCCCAACTCAGCTGGCGGAGCTCAGGTCAGAAATAAGGAGCCTGGGATTCCAGACACGGCACAGCTTTCACCCTGGGGATACGGGATTGCAGCACTCCTGGGAAGGGGCACAGGTTAGGAGCCTGCTCCGGGGCTACGTACAGGGCAGGGGCTCTCAGCCAGACGGACGGTGCAGTTTCTGCGTTACAGAGGCAAAGCCAACCCTCTACACCCTCCGCTCCATTTAGAAACGCACAAACCCCACCTTAACGTAAGCCCTCTGTGCAGTAAGACGATGGAAAGGGGTTATCTGCTGACCGAGATTGCCATAACAGCACCCCACCCTGCAAAACTCTTTTCTGCAGACCAACCTTTGTGTTGCCCTGTAGCTGAACAGTTTGCAATGCGCCCACTTTCTGGAATCACCCATTAATCAGAGTTTATCCCTCTGACAGCCTGCCTGGTATCACAGGTTTTAGTCAGCAACATCTTCACTATCAACTGCTGGCAGGTGTAGGGCTGACTGACTGCAGGTAGAAAACCTGTTTGCAGAACCCTGAAACCACCCTCCTGTTCGCATCTCCTTCGTGCCGTCACCTTGCTAATCCCTTCACCCACACAGCCTGTGCTCTCTTCACAATACAGAGTGTTCACTGAACCCCCAAATCCCGATTTCATCACGCAGGTACAGCGCAACGCACTGCCCCGTTCGTCACCTCGGAGATGGCTGCAGCCCCAGCACCTAATGTGCAGAATAACCCCCCAGCTGCCGCCCGTGCGGGAGCCTCCCCTTAACACAAGCCGGCAGCGTTACCTTGGGGCAGGCGGCCGGTCACAGACACTGCGTAGACGCCCGGCTTGAAGTTACCTGGGGGAAAGAAAACACCAAGTTATCCCACACAGCAGCAGCCGGGTGGGCAGGCATCCCTGCCAGCCTCCGCAGGTGCCCCCTCATCGGAGCAGAAACCCCCTCCGCAGCCCAAACAGCAACTCCTGTTCAGCTCTGTGCTCAGCGCTGGGCCCCTCACCCCACGAAGGCCATGGAGGGGCTGGAGCGTGGCCAGAGCAGGGCAGCGAGGCTGGGGCAGGGGCTGGAGCCCAAGGCTGGGGAGGAGCGGCTGGGGGAGCTGGGGGGGCTCAGCCTGGAGAAG